TTTCCACAAATTATCCCTACAGAGTACTTAGAAAAAGAATAAATTTGGAGTCCTACATAATACAGATGGTCCAAAGTTTAAGTTGTGAAAACAAAGAAAGCATTTGCGGATGATACTAAACTGGGAGGAGTGGTAGATACGCTGGAGGGGAGGGATAGGATACAGAAGGACCTAGACAAATTGGAGGATTGGGCCAAAAGAAATCTGATGAGGTTCAATAAGGATAAGTGCAGGGTCCTGCACTTAGGACGGAAGAACCCAATGCACAGCTACAGACTAGGGACCGAATGGCTAGGCAGCAGTTCTGCGGAAAAGGACCTAGGGGTGACAGTGGACGAGAAGCTGGATATGAGTCAGCAGTGTGCCCTTGTTGCCAAGAAGGCCAATGGCATTTTGGGATCTATAAGTAGGAGCATAGCGAGCAGATCGAGGGACGTGATCGTTCCCCTCTATTTGACATTGGTGAGGCCTCATCTGGAGTACTGTGTCCAGTTTTGGGCCCCACACTTCAAGAAGGATGTGGATAAATTGGAGAGAGTCCAGCGAAGGGCAACAAAAATGATTAGGGGTCTAGAACACATGACTTATGAGGAGAGGCTGAGGGAGCTGGGATTGTTTAGCCTGCAGAAGAGAAGAATCATAGAATCATAGAATATAAGGGTTGGAAGGGACCCCAGAAGGTCATCTAGTCCAACCCCCTGCTCGAAGCAGGACCAATTCCCAGTTAAATCATCCCAGCCAGGGCTTTGTCAAGCCTGAACTTAAAAACCTCTAAGGAAGGAGATTCTACCACCTCCCTAGGTAACGCATTCCAGTGTTTCACCACCCTCTTAGTGAAAAAGTTTTTCCTAATATCCAATCTAAACCTCCCCCACTGCAGCTTGAGACCATTACTCCTCGTTCTGTCATCTGCTACCATTGAGAACAGTCTAGAGCCATCCTCTTTGGAACCCCCTTTCAGGTAGTTGAAAGCAGCTATCAAATCCCCCCTCATTCTTCTCTTCTGCAGGCTAAACAATCCCAGCTCCCTCAGCCTCTCCTCATAACGCATGTGTTCCAGACCCCTAATCATTTTTGTTGCCCTTCGCTGGACTCTCTCCAATTTATCCACATCCTTCTTGAAGTGTGGGGCCCAAAACTGGACACAGTACTCCAGATGAGGCCTCACCAATGTCGAATAGAGGGGAACGATCACGTCCCTCGATCTGCTCGCTATGCCCCTACTTATACAATGAGGGGGGATTTGAGGATGGCTCTAGACTGTTCTCAATGGTAGCAGATGACAGAACGAGGAGTAATGGTCTCAAGCTGCAGTGGGGGAGGTTTAGATTGGATATTAGGAAAAACTTTTTCACTAAGAGGGTGGTGAAACACTGGAATGCGTTACCTAGGGAGGTGGTAGAATCTCCTTCCTTAGAGGTTTTTAAGTTCAGGCTTGACAAAGCCCTGGCTGGGATGATTTAACTGGGAATTGGTCCTGCTTCGAGCAGGGGGTTGGACTAGATGACCTTCAGGGGTCCCTTCCAACCCTGATATTCTATGATTCTATGATAAAAGTAAAGTCATTTTCTAAAAAGAATGCAGTAAACCCTCAATGTAATAAAATAGGATGCTAAATGCAGGCTGCTGACTGACTATGCTGTGACACAATGGGACACCACATATACTGCAAGTCTACTGACTGAGTTACAGCTGGAATAATTTTGACCCATTCACAACTCCAATATTTATGTTTCAGTTCTTTTGGGGGAGGGGGGGGCGCTCAATGCCCCTTTCCCCACACAAAAAATTACTAATTCCATGCTCAAATTAGAAAATGAGCTATACTTAAACCAAGATAAATACTACAAACACAAATTTATGTATTTTAATTGAAATTTCTAAGTGAATACAATGTGTGCTCAAACCGATTCTATGGTCATTTACAGCATTGTAGTTTGCTGATAGGAGTACGTGTAGAAGCAACAAAAAAATTAAGCAAATACTAGAGAGTATTAATGGAAAATAAATTTTGAATATGTATACATAAGTGTTCCTACCAGAAACCTGATTCTAAAATAGGAAGATTCTAAAATCTTCTTGTATTTAAGGTAGTGGACGGAGGACACAGGAGATTGGGGCTCTGTTTCTGGCTCTTCACATACTTCCTGTGTGACCTTGCACCAATCTTTAATCACTGAATCAGATCATCCATCTGTAAAATGTGGGTATTTCATTATGTTTGTGAGATGCACAGATACTAAAGTGAGGCATGCAAAAGAAAAGCAAGTCAGACAAAAAATTACAATCAGGGAACAAAAATATACCCTAAGACCAAAGTACCCAATTTACTCAACAGCTTAAACTTTCAATATCAACTAGCCACAATGAACTGCTTGCAAACGAGTAACAGATGAAGATTTATTCACTGAAATTCGACTAGTAGTTCTAAATAGTAATTATTTTTTAAAATCAAGCTCTGTTCAAGCCTGTCAAAACAGAAAGATAAAAATATGTCAAATGAATAGTTACGAATTATTTGTCCAGCTCTAGCCAGAGCTAGGAAACTGCTGCCACTAAAGCAAACTTTCTAAAATGCAACATTTTACTGAAGCCATACTGAAGATGTGCCATAAGAGGGGGAGAGAAGTAGGTCCTTTCTTCACTAATGTCCATCTCCAATTTGGACCTAATTCCGAAGTTCAGAGGAATTTGGAACTTGAAAGTAATGCAACATCTTCTCCGTTATCTATACATAGGAGATTTCTCACTTTTAAACTGCTTGTTCCTTTAATGTCATAAGCCAATATTTGTGACATCACAATCACTTTTACAGTAGGGAATTTACTACCACAATTGGCTTACACAGAGATGTTACGATCTAGCAGGAGAAGCAAGAGGTTTAGAAAAAAAGAAAGCTTCTATTAACATTACTATTAGAGTAATCAGCATAGATTAGTATCTGTGGAAGACAGAAATGTGTGGTTTAGGTATTTTTAATGCATCTGCCTACCACACTTTGATATTACGCAAATAACTGACACTGCATATATTTATAGTCTTATTTAGATTTTTTCCACTTATTTTACCTAATTCAATTTCAAATATTGTTGGACACATTGTTAGTAATAAGCAAGCCTTGGCAAATGCACATGCTAATGGCAAACAGTAAAACTTCTCTTGGTGAATTTACTCATCAGTTATTGCAGAATAAGCTTTTTAAACAAAAATAAAGCGTCTAGCCCTTCTGGTAGCAAACAGCCTTCCAAATGGGAAGTAAACAGAGCAATGCAATGGTCTTCCTAAATCTGCCTAAGTCTGATAAAACAGTCATGAACTGCCAAAGACCCAAATATAGGGAAGTTACTCTGGGGCAGAGGAACTTTCCCAATCTTTGAAGTCACTCTACAGTAGTTATTCCAGTCTCAAGGCTGGATTAATCTATACAACACTTGACTCAACTCTATGAGAGGTGAAGGCTAGTTAATAGCCCCAAATCCAATAGTGCACAACAAGCCCCACAGAGCTTGCACTCCACCACAGACTTTCCAAATATTGCCCCAACTCGTATGCAGAAGAAAAATGTTGGAAATGCTACAACATAGCTTTGGACCTACTCTTATAGCAGTTGGGAGGATTTACTCTTATAACAGTTGAATTAGCTTCTACATGCCCAAGTGTCATGTTGACTCTGGAGAGTTTCTGGGCCCATCTTTGTTCAATCCTTCAAAAATGCTATGTTTTGAATTTCCAAGGAACTTCAACCACCTCATCCCTTCTGTCCAAAGCCATGCAGAAAAAAAAAAAAATCAAGCACCAATAGCAAGGCTTTCAACCAGCAAGTTACTGGACTTTTTGTCCATTTATTTTCCCTAGCTTGAGAAAATGGGAAGGCATGGCATTGGTAGGAGATCATAACTATGTGCCTTTTGTTGCTGATTTATTGCTATTTGTTGGGAATATGCTGATTAATGAAGGGGTTCTTCATTGTTGTATATTTCAAAACTGTCAAAAGGCACCTAGATAAAAGGATGAGCACTATAATTTTACCTAAAAGAATAGCAGCAAGAGCCCAACCACCTGACTTGAAGTGCACAAATATAAAGTCAATAACAAGAGACTTATCCCTACAAATCCATATAGAACATTTGGGTCTCCCTGCTTGAGGGGCACTCCTTTCAAAGTTTTTTACAGAAAGTTTTCCCCTAATTTGCCACTAAGTTAGACAGGACAGAGGCCACTAGAAATTGTATTGGAACAGACATGAGAAAACTAAAGCTTCGGGAACAGACCTGAGAGAACTGGCAGTTGTGCAACATTATGGGTTTACCCATTTCCCCCCATTTCTATCTATTTAAATGTTCACAGCAAAGACAAATCATGGGCGGGCGGGGGACTCACAAAGTTACAACTTAAATGGGCAACAGAACATGTCAAGACAGACGCGGTAAGCACCCGTGAATCGCCCGGGGGTTCCCCGGCAGCGGGTCGGCCCGGAGCATCGCTCTCACCGGCGTGCTGCGCAGGGGCCGCGGGGAGCGCACCCACGCGGACAGGGACGAGCCTGGCCCCGCCACGCCGAGAGCCCCCCCCCCCCCCGGGCCGCCGGGCCCCAGCGCGAGGGCAGGGGCAGGGAGCGGCCGGCGGGGGGGGGGCGGGGAGAAGCGCCCAGCACAGGGAAGGGCGCGGGGGGGGGGGCAGGCTGGGCGGGGGGGGGAGAAGTGGATGTGGGGGGCCCCCGCGCACCGCCCCCCAAAGCCCGGGGCCGGCGCTGCTGCAGACAGATGGGGGGGGGGGGTTACCATATACCCCCCGCCCCGCGGGTTGCGGGAGGCCGCCGGGGGGTCCCGCCCCCGGCCCTGCTGGGCAGCCGTGTCCCGCCGGGGGGGTCCCGCCTGACGGGGCGGGGGGGCCGCCCGGGGCTCCCGGCTGGGCAGGGCGCGGCGGTTGGGGCGCCGGGGGGGGGGGCCCAGGGACCCGGCACGGGGCGGGGGAGGAGAGGGGGAGGGGGAGGGGCTCACCCCGCTGCTCCCTCAGCGCCATGACGGAGGCCAGGTAATGCGCCGCGTCGAAGAAGGGGAACATGGGCAGGCGGGAGAAGCGCAGCGGCACCTGCCCCAGCTCCATGGCGGCGGCGGCTCCTCGGCCCGGGCCCGGCCCGCCCCGGCTCGCGCGCCGCCCCCACAGCTGGGGGGCGGGAGAAGGGAGGGCGCTGAGTGTTAATTGGAGGGACCAGCCCGGGGGGCGGGACTTGCTGCGGGGGAGGGGGCTGCGAGGGGCGGAGGAGGGGGCGGGGAGCTGCAGGGGGCGGGACTTGCTGGGGGAGGGGGGGGGGGGGGGGAGCTGCTGGGGGCGGGACTTGCTGGGGGAGGGGGCTGCTGGGGGCGGAGGAGGGGGCGGGGGAGCTGTAGGGGGCGGGATTTGCGGGGGGTTGTGGGGCAGAGGAGGGGGCGGGGAGCTGCAGGGGGCGGGATTTGCGGGGGGTTGCTGGGGAGAGGAGGGGGCGGGGAGCTGTAGGGGGCGGGATTTGCGGGGGGGGGGGGGGGGGGCGGGGGAGTGCGGGGGGGTTGGGGGGTTGCTGGGGAGAGGAGGGGGCGGGGAGCTGCAGGGGGCGGGATTTGCGGGGGTTGCTGGGGCAGAGGAGGGGGCGGGGAGCTGCAGGGGGCGGGATTTGCGGGGGGGTTGCTGGGGCAGAGGAGGGGGCGGGGAGCTGCAGGGGGCGGGATTTGCGGGGGGGTTGCTGGGGCAGAGGAGGGGGCGGGGAGCTGTAGGGGGCGGGATTTGCGGGGGGGTTGCTGGGGCAGAGGAGGGGGGGGGAGCTGCAGGGGGGGGATTTGGGGGGGGTTGCTGGGGCAGAGGAGGGGGCGGGGAGCTGTAGGGGGCAGGATTTGCGGGGGGGTTGCTGGGGCAGAGGAGGGGGCGGGGAGCTGCAGGGGGCGGGATTTGCGGGGGGGTTGCTGGGGCAGAGGAGGGGGCGGGGAGCTGCAGGGGGCGGGATTTGCGGGGGGGTTGCTGGGGCAGAGGAGGGGGCGGGGAGCTGCAGGGGGCGGGACTTGCTGGGGGGGTTGCTGGGGGGTCAGGGAGCGGCCCTAGGCATGTGGGGAGTTATTATCTGTATGGCCATGGGAGGGCTCAGGTACTGATGGGGCTGGGCTGCTCAAGGCAGGGATTAGGGGGGCTGGGGGGAACATCTGCTTGGGGGAATTACAGAACCAGTATGTGGGGAGTTAGGGACCTGAATGGGAAGGAGGAGGGTTGGTAGGGGGATGAGGGAACTTTATGGTTATGCGAAGGAGTGTATCTATGGCATGGATTAAGAACCAGTGTGGATATGGGGGGTATTTGGGACCTGTCTGGGCACTGGGGGGTTGGCAGGGAGATTAGGGACCTTTAGGTGTATGGGGCGTGAGGGAATCTGATGGGTGCAGGGGATTAGGAACTGGTATGAGGATTGGAGGTGAGGTTCTATTGGGTGAATGGGGATTTGAGACCTGTACTGAGATGAACACTGTAAATTCCTTAAACAGCTTTTGCTTTAATCACAGGTCTTGAGTCCTACATCACTTTAGAAAAGCCTCTTGAAGTTCTACCAGAAAATATCAAGTGGTTAGAGGAACCGGAGAGTTCTCTGCCCTGTGTAACAAAGCTTTCCTGCTCACCCTATACTAAAAGTTTATTTACATTACTACTACCTCTCCCTCCACATATGCACAGCAACAGAAGGTACTGGGTGGTTTTTCTTTTAGCAGCCTTGCCTAATGTTTTGACCCTTTAAAATCTAAGCACATTTACAAAAAAGGTGCTTCAGAGAAGTGAACTCAAGTTATGTGCACTTGATTTATTTCTGTTGTGTTAGCCTGTCCAAGGTGACAACAAATATGCTCCTCTCCCACGCTGCTTCCACTGTGAGGCCTCAATCCGCGTTCAGATCCTCGCAGACCCAAGGGTCAAACCATACATATGTGACTGAAGGATCAGGGCACACATATGCTCCATTTATTATTTAAAAAAAAACATTTCTAACTGACACCCCCCAAACTCAGCCTGGGCTCCAAGAGTCAAGCTGGCTTCTGTCCATCTCACCCACCATCACGAGTCATAGGGACAAAGATATCAGCACTTAGACAGTTCTGCTGATCATGCTACAGGAGCCAGAAAAAACCTGGCTCATTTTGCTATAGCTGTATTGGCTAAATTCATGCAGATCTGCCTCAAAACCAGATGGTTATACTGCTTAAGGTGTCATTTTTTACACTCAATTTTTAAAAATGTAAATAGAGCCTAAAAAGTTAGGTTGTATGTTTAGCCAATATTCTCTCTTCATTCCAGAAAATGACATTAATGATGCTTGTGTGAAGTAACCTGTTACTAACAAGTCATTTGGCAATTCATGCCACTCGGAGTCGTTTGGAGCAAGACTTAAGATTCCCTCCATGTGCACAGCCACTCAATTATTTTTTTCATTTTTTGCTTTCCACCAAAGAATCTTAAGGTATTTGGTCTTTGGCTTAATGCTTGTGTTTTGTATGGAACTGAGTAAGCTCTGTGCTTAATAAATAAGTGACTACATAAAGCTAAAATATCCCAGCCTTTAACAAAACTGCTTGAATCCTATAGGATGAGAGAAATTAGAGAGGATGTAGATATATTAAATGACAATCCATCCTGAAAGCATAGGAGGTAATCTCCCCATTGAAGACATACCACTTTAACTGATACTGAATTTGGAACAAATTTCAACACTGGAGTAAGCAGGATTATTGAAGACTATTGAAGTCTGTGGGAATTGATTCTGTTTACACCAGTACACGTCACTGTTTCTCTCTACTTTGTGTTTTTCTGAGCCCAAAACTACAGAGAAGTTACTTGAACTGCATCTTCAGTGAACGTACATACTACACTGAAGTCAATGGAGTTACCTTAAGGAAAACAATAGTTGAATCTTGTCAAATAATGTCAGAGTTTAACGAGAAAATCCCTATATGGTCAGAAATAAGTAAAGTACAATAAGCAAGATATCATGCTCCCTTCCAAGACAGAAGGCATACACCAGACTGCTGTTCTATCACCATATCACTTCCGAGAGCAAGGGTGAACCTTTATTGTTGATCCTTTTAATGAAATCCTTACATCTCCCAAGCATCTGATCACATATCTGCACCTCAGTTGCCCTCTACCTTTGTGGGGGTCTGTAATCTCCCACCCCCTGCTGGGCAGATAATGTGGCTTGTTAGGGTTTAGCCCTCCAGCCAAACCTCAGGTATAGTCCTTTCCCTTTCAGGGCTCACAACCATAAATAGCCTCCAAGCTAACTAAGCAGTTCCTTACACTGATGATATATGGGGGGACGTCCTCTCTCTTTCCCTGCTTGCAAGCCCGCTCCCTGAAGCCCCAGAATAAATTGGTAAACCCACCAGTCCTCCAGCTCCTTCTAGTGCCATGTGACTAACTCCCATGATTTTATCACAAGTCTCATGATATACAATGTTTTACTTAAAGCTCCTGCTCCATACAGATCCCTAAATTGTCTGCTTTTGCAAAATAATTACATGAGAAGCTCAACTTTCATTTAAAAAACAAAAGTAAGTTTCTAGCCCTCAGGGATGCAGAGAAAAGCTTGAAAATGTGAGCTGAGTGCACCCAAAGGGCTCAGACACCAAATAAACAGAACCAAAATATGTTTGGCTTTTTTATTTTTTATTTTTGTAAATCCCATTCCATTTTGGGGCCTGAATTGTGATTTTTGAACACCTGGGGTTGGCAGTCCTGCTAATGATACATTGCCTCAGGCCTTTTCCTTCTTGTTGCACCCCCCTCAGCTGCCTTCTATGACCTTCCTTCTCACACACTTTCCACAGCTTCCTGAGTTTCATGCTTCTTTTTCCTCTCTTGACAGAACCTTTTAGGCAGTTTCTTGTTCCCCTGGTTTTTGGGCTTCTTGCCACCAAGCACTTCCTAAATCCTTCTCCAACAATATCACCCCTCCGCTTTTATATGGCCCGAGTACACTCAACACATGATTCCCTTTTGATCAGGTGATCCAGGAGTACACTTCACTCTTGAGAAACTACATTTTCCAAAATCCCATTCTATTAAAGGGGCCAGTAATCTCCCCCATTTTAACAGGACCTGACCTTAAAGGGCTCACCATGCTCTGCCATACTTCCCATCCTTCCCAGGACAGAAGGACAAAGATTTTAATGTTTGTGATGTAAATTGTACACTGTGGGAGGGGAGTAGGTGATGAATAAGGTATAAAGGATGGGTTGTGCTGTGAGGTGATTGGTTAAGTGGTACACAGAGGTATGATGCCTGTTGAAGGCCATGGTAGAGGAACAAGAAGAGATTTAGTTGGATGGCTGGGTATTCCATGAGCTGAGGGGTATTTCCCCAGCTTCTCCTGGTCCTGACTAGATACCCTTGCCTTAATGTCAGGGCAAGGGTGTGTGATAGGTGCATACAACATCCCTCCAACCCAGCAAGGGTCAGTGGGAATTTTAAAATAGGAGGCAGGCTGATCAATTTTGTGATCTAGACTTTGCTTCAGGAATTTTTTCAGTAAACATAGCAAGCGGAGCAAAGGTTCTTGGACCAGGGTATATTCATTAACTATGAGGGATGAGCTGTGGAATAATTCCAGCAACAGAGATGAGATCCAGGTGATGGAAGGCTTGAGGTTCCAGAAGCAACCTGTGTAGGGGAGGGACTGCACCATTCAAAGGACACGCTCAAGTGAGAACCAGTCTAACCCCACTTCTCGCTGCCCATACTCTCCTGACCTCATCCATCACAAACATTCCAATTCCTTCCAGCAGCTGCTCAATCATCCTGCACCCCAACAGTGAGCCCACTTGCTTTGCTTCTTGCTATAAGTGTTATATAAAAAATTCACCCAGTTGGTCTCTGTAGTGATATTCTTAAATTAAAGGAAGCTAGAGTTGTAACTAAGCTGCTTTTTGATTATCCCTGTTACTAGAAGAGAATTTTGGAAAACTCTTATCATTGTTATATTTGTATTATGCTTATGTCTGAATCAGGACTCCATTGTGCCAGACACTACACATATGCATAGTGAGGGACAGTCTCCACCTCCAAGGAACTTATAGTGTAAATAGACAGGACTGGAAAAAGGAGGGAAATACTATTTCCCCAAGTTTACAGATAGGAAACGGAGGCATGGAGA